GTTAAGGAGGTCTGAGGGTATGATAAGAATGTGATAAGAAAGGTTTTCAAAGAAAGAAATATAATCTTGTGAGTGCCACCTGGACTTGGACAAACATGAGATACTAGAAAGAGGTAGTCAGGAGGCCTGAATTTGAAACCTAGCCTAGCGTCTTAATTAGCTATATGACCTTGCCTGGGCCACTTAACCTCTCTGACTTCATCTCAATAGTGAAGTTACAAAAACAATAACACTGCCCTACATATCTCACAGAGTTCTTTAACAATTCATGTGCAATGGAGGCCAGATAGAACTACAGTTAAGGGCATCAGTACAAATCTCAGCTCACTGTGTACTGGCTATGTGACTCGGGCAAGTTTTAGATCCTTCTATATTTTGACTTACTCATTTGTAATATATGTATAAGGATACTAATACCTGCTCAAAGTAATTCAGAGCATAGTGCCTTTGGTATAAATAGTGCTCCATAATCACTATGTTTTTCTACCACTAATGTGATTGCAAACTGTTCAGAGTATATAAATGAAACATTATTGTTATATTTAGCATATTATTTTACTGAGTAACAAGATAAATATTGAAAAAATATAGGCAGGAAGGGTAGAATGGAGATGATAAAGCATTGCTCATCTTTAAAATGTTTTGTAAATAAGGACATATGAGAACTCAAAACCTTTCTCACAAAATTAACTCATATTGGCTTAACAAGAAATGGTCATATAGTTCTTTTTTTAAGAATGAAAACCATTAGCCATGATCAATGGCTTCATGTCAGGTTGGGATAAGGTACCTAGAGAGTGACTGTGAGAACCAGTGATAATTCAGATCTTCATAATAATAATACATCTCCACCAAGAGCACAAGTAATTGATATGTTAATGAAATCTGTAAAGATACTCAGAGAACATTCAGTGAGCTTCTTTAAAGCTGGACGAATAAAGCTAGGAAGACCACAAATGATGCAAAGATTCTCAAAAGTTCATTCATCTACTCAGAAAATATTTAGTCCCTGATCTGTGCTTTTGGACATTGAAGATTCACAACCAAGTGAGGAATATAAGCGGGCAAGTCACTACCTTGCAGTAAGAGAAAGGCCATGGGTATAGCTAAGTTTGGGGTGCTAAGGACCCCCAGAGGTGGGGCTCCTAACCAACACAGGCATCAGAGAAGGTTGTCTAGAGGAGGCAACACCTGAGCAGATTCTGCAAGGATCCCCTAAAACTAGTCTAATTCAGAAGGACTGGCTGCCTTCTGGGTGGAGGGAGCACCATCCACCAGTGACCCAGAAGATAAACTGCAAGTCACTGAATGTGGTCAGGCTAGAGTAAGGGAACCCAGCCTTTTCCAGTATAAGGGTTCCTTTGGAATGACAACAAATGTCATGGTCTTCCCACAGCAGACTAATTGTCCTTTTAAAATCTCTTATCTTACAAAAATTTGTATAGTACCCCCTTCCCAAAAAATGTATAGTAATTTTATAACAGTTTTAAATGAACTTGTGTCTTTTTAAATCCCAACAGTGTCAATGGATATTTATGTTAGAAAAATATTTGCTACACTTTTAAATGAACTTATGTATTTTAATCATCACGGTACATGCCTACTTGTCTTCATCTGAGAAATACTTATCTATGTGGAAGATTTTTTTCATTCTAAAAGTTCTTGGTATATGTGTATATTGACAAACTCCTTTATAATGACTGCCAATTCATCCCACAACCACTCCTGTAGTCTATGCCCCATAGTTAGGGTGGTTCACAGGGATCCAGCAGATTATGAGCCTGGAGAGAGTTGGAGTAGGTCTCTTTATCCATGGTGAAATGGAAGGTATGGAGGTTGTTGAGGAGTTTGGAGCAGTGCTGTGAAAACAACAGATTTTTCTGTCAGCAGGAGATACCTAAGAGGCAAGCTCTGAACTGCAATGATAGCAGTGAATGGAGAAAATGAAGCAGGCTTGAAAAATATTAAAAGATACAATTGATTTGATTTAGTAATCCCAGACTTGAGAATAGGGGGCGAAGTCTCAGAAGACTCCTTGCTTTCTGGCTTATGTGACTGGATAAATGGTGATATCATTAAAAAATTTTGTTTTTAAAGTATAGATAAAGCCAGAGCTTAAGGAGAAGATTTTTAATATGGGCCATTTGACTTTGAAGTGGCTGTGGGACCACCATTTGGGAATATATAAGTCCAGAAGAAGAATTTAGGCTAGAGATATAGCTTCAGGAAGCATCAACATGTAGATAGTAATCCAAGTTGCAGTGTGGGTAAAAACACCCAGAAAGGAGTATATAGTTTGAGAAGAAGAAGGTCTGTTATGGTTTGTGTTTAGATGTCCCCTCAAAACCTCATTTGGATGAGGTGGGACTTTCTTTTTCAGAGGTAGTTGAATCTGGAAAGTGTGATGCTGAGGATAAGGGTGTGTGATTACTAAACCACTAAGTGTGAGTGATTATTTGGCACTGCCCTAATCCTGGTAGTCTGAATAAGATAAAAGGGGCAAAAAGATGCTGTTAAATTCTCTTGTTGTATTTACTACTGTGTGGGTGCCATGTTGTTTCTCCTCTGCAATGCCTGTTTGCCATCCCTTCCTTGGAACCAGACAATTATGGACTGAAACCCCTAAGAACTGTAAGCCAAATAAACCCCTTCCCCTCCAACTTTGGGTGTCAGGTATTTTGTCTCAGCAATGAGAGAAAAGTAACTAACACAGGGTCCAAGGATAGAAAAGCAGGAAATCACACCATCCCCCCAGTCTGGACCAGCTCAACATCCAGAAATGAAGGAGGAAAACCTAGAAAGAAAGATATCATCAGAGCCAAGGGGAGAGAAGGTTTTCAGACGGGTGCCTTGAAAGAATCAGTTCCACAGAACAACAAGAATGATAAAACTCAAAATGTGTATCTGTACACAACAACAATGAAAAGAGTAACAACAAAAACACTATTTCTTACTTACCTGGCTCTTAATGCTTGAGAAGCACTTTCATATTCTTTATTTAAATTCATTCTCACTATAGCCTATATAACATTCTTCAGATGCAAAAGCTTCAGGCCAGTTAAATTAAGGGATATGCCAAAGCCATCCAGCAATTTAGTAACCTGACCCTGGAATTAGAGATTGTGATCTAGGGTATTGACCACGCTCCCAGTTCCACCCAACTCCGGTTAGCTTTTCAACCAGCAATGAGAAAATCAGAATGGAGCCTATTCCAGAAAAACTATTTCTATAGATTTTTGAAAAATGTTCTTCTCACACTTAGTTTTGCACTTCCCAGAACCCAAAGATGTAGCACTCTAGGATCATTTGAATCTAAAATGGTATTGCCTGATTCCTTGACCTAAGAGAGACCATTGAAGGTTTGCAAGCAAAAAAGTGATATAAATTTGAGTGTGTTCCTGAAAGTTTAGTCAGTATTCTTCCACTTATATTTAATTGTGCTTATGTCTGGTTGTTGGACATTCACACCTGAAGCAAAATAAAGAAAATATGCTATGAAGATGAAACTTTTCTGAGCTTCTTTTGCAACTGAACACCTTAGTTCAAACTACCTAGCACTCCAAGTAGGCTCTCCACACCAGCAATAAAGCAAAAGCTTCCTTACATTTAGAAGCAAAAGTTCTTTGTGTATTTGATGAGGTCAACAATGACTCTCATATCTCAATTCTCCCACTCTCACACTATCCAGAGGCAGGTGTGGCTGTTCGTTCATTGTTCAGTTATTTCAACAAAGGAGGGGAGCTGCTTCCTCTAGCCAGATCTGGACCCAGCCCAAACTTACCCATATGGTACCAGACCTGGAGCTCTTTTCTGCCTTGCTGTTCACTGAGAACCGTTTACAACACACTTATCTCAGGGAACTCACTGTACTGTTGGTCATGGATCTGATTATCTCTCTCTAAACCTGTCTATCATTCACACCACAGAAGGAACACCAAACAAAGGCCTCTATATCAATCTATAACATTTTATTCTCTTTACAGCTTGGATGATATCACTGCAATGTTACTACCTTGGAGGTTAGACAAGGTCCAAAAACAGTCATCACTATGTAATGCTGGTTTTCTGAGAGTGACCCACAGCCTTTATTTCCAGCTAGTATCTTGATTCTGAGCGCTTCTACTGATCTGTAAAACTGAGCTTCCATATGGCTGTCAGGAATAGTTGGGGAGTTGTCTGGATTCTGTACCATAGGCCAGTGATGGGTGGCATTTCCCTCCCAACTAGCTTAAAATGACTGTTTCTCTTTTCTAAGTTTGTTATGATTATAGTTTCTCTTTTCAGGATCAAAAATGTATGGTTACAGAAAAAGAATAAAAGCAAGAAGGTTAGATGAATTATGATCACAAATGCTTACTTTATCACCTACTTTGTTGTGTTGCTAAAATGGGAACATCTATTAAATATGAAACACTCTTAAATTAGAAAAAGCAGAGTTGTAAGATATGTCTCTATCCTTCTTTAGAATAACCCTATAAAAGTAACATGCCAGTTCTCTAATCTGTAGGATAAATTAACGATGTAAGCAAATGGTAAATTTCTGAAAATATCTCAAGCCCGTGCATCATTCCACAGGGGAAAACTTTTTAAATAGAAAAGTCAAGCTGACCTGCAATTGTGATTTTTTAAAAAAACAAGGCATGATATAGCTTCTGTATCAGAAACTTTTCACTGATCTCAATTATGTGCTCTGGCACTAGATTCCCTGGGTTCAATTCCCAATTTTGGGACCTACAAGCTGTATGGCCTTGGGGAAGTCACTGAGCTACTCAAGGTAAAATGAAGATTATGATGGTTCCTTACTTCAGAGGATTATCAGGGTGTTTGGTAAGTTATTACAGTAAAGCACCTAGGTCAGTACCTGGGCATGGCCTATATCATGAGTGCTGGCTGAGTGTGCATCAGACAGACTGTCAGGAAAACAAGGACTAGGTGGGGGCTTTGTTAAATGTTTCCTTGACAATGAAATAATGAGTTCCCTACTATTTTCCCCACTGTAGGTCAGTGCAGCTGAATGGCCAGCCCTTAGTGATGGTGGACGACGGCACCCTCCCAGAATTGAAGCCTCGCCCCCTGCGGGCAGGCAGGACATTGGTCATCCCTCCAGTCACCATGGGCTTTTATGTGGTCAAGAATGTCAACGCTTTGGCCTGCCGCTATCGATAAACCACCATCCACAAGCTACCAGTGGGCCTGCTGGACAGCTTTCTACTCTTCCACCCTAACAGTATCTTTATTTTTCAAACATTTTAGCAACCAGCCTCTGCTGCCCCATCCTTCTGGAGTCAACATAGACTTGCTGTCCAAAGAGACTAAATATCATAGTATGAGCTTAGCCTAGGTAGGTCACACCCATTCCAAAGGAAAATATAGACATCATCTGTACTTATACAAGGATAAAAATTTGTGTCTATAGTTGTACGTTTCCTTTGCATTCACCATGAAAAAAGGCTGATGGCACACTCCCAGGACAAAAGTTTCCAAGCAATTCCCCGTGATCCCGCTTGCACAGTGCTATAATTACAAACCCTAAATCTTAGCCTGTTCCTGCTGCCCTCAGCAGAAGATTAGGAAAGAAAAGTCTGGAAAAACCTGCAAGAACACAATCCCTTTCTAACTCCTCCTTTGTCTGTTTCCTGCTGCTGTCCTGGGTTTCCTGACACCTCTCTTCCCATAGGGGAACAAATGGGTGAGTCAGCTCTGGCCCACTGGGTGAGCTGTTTATGTAATTTCCTGGTTGATGTATGTGTGTGTGCATCTGGGTTTCTGACAGTGGCATCCATCACTGGTTATTCCTCTGGGAAGCGGGTGCTTCAAAAGTAGAATTACAATCATACTCCAGATTTTGTAAGAAGATTCTACTCCTCTGTGAATTTTGATTCCCCCAGGCTTGGAATGGAAGTCAGGTAACAATATTCATTGAGTAGAGAGAGAACAATGTATTAGACACCATAAAAAGCAATCATCATCCTTCATGTTGCCAAAGGGAAAGAGTTGTAATACAAAGAAAAAGTGTATGGGAGAGAGAGAGAGAGAGAGAGAGAGAGAACATCAACTAAATAAAGCAAATTAAACCTGCCCCCAAATCAGAGAATACTAAGGGCTTGAAAAGGTAAGCCCTTATGTTTGGCTGACCAAAACCCATTTAGAACAAGAAAGTGTGACTCAAAAGTCATTCCTGTAAAACATAACTGAATCTAACCTTTCTGCCTCTCCCCATGTAGCTGTGCTTCTCAGTGACATTTACTGGGCAGAAATCTAGTCTGGTCATTAAAGAGGACCAGGTCCATTCTCTCCCAGTCCTACTTAATTGAGCATATAACAAGCTTTCAGGGAGACTTACTGAGGAAGAAAGTGGAATCTGGAGAAAAGGGATGGCAAAACTGTGGAATAGTAGTGGGAAGCTTCTGAGTTGGGCAGGGAGAAAAGGGAGTGATTTAAAGTTCATGACGAGGATCTTCATGATTCCTGAGGTATGTAATTCCTTGCAAACAAGCTGTGACTGTAATGACTTTCTTGTCCTTCTCAGAATAAATGATAGGAATGATTTTTTTAAGGAGGAAATACTTGATATAACTAAAGGTTCCAGTTAGCATAATGGTTCAACCTCTCCTGCTGTGAAATGATAGAAATGGGGTGAGGGTAGAGTTGCTGAGGACTGCACCAGAGAGACTGCCTATGATGCCTAAGGAGTGAAGATCTGGGCCGGGTCTGCAAAGTGAAAAACAGGAGGAAGATTAGATAAGCAAGGCAGTATAATATGCTCAGCGTGGAGAACTGGGAATTTGGGAGGCAGAAGCCAACTAGCTACTTTTATATTTAAAGTAGTAGACTCAATTTTTGACATCTTTATTAATAGGTAAAGGAGGAAGAGCACTCAGGAGGTATACTAGAGTGAGAGAACGACAGATTGAGGTTGGACTGGACCTGGTCAGTGGCTGTGTTCAGCTTAGAAGCATCTGGAAAGAAAGGAACAGAGCCTGAGACTGCCCTCCACCCTTCAAGGTTCCCCAGGAAAGCCTCCTCCTCCAGGACAAAGCACCTTGTGTCAAAGTTTCTGCTCTGAGAGGGCAAGAAAGGGAAGTGCCAACACTAGGGTAGGAAGGAGAGAAGAAGGAACAGATGCACAGGCCAAAATAAGGAAAAGCAGGGAAAAGAGAAATAAGAGAGAAAAGTCTCTTTCTGCAGATAAGAGTCAAACTCTGCAGATATCAAAAACCCTTCTGTATTCCAATGAAGGTTCAGCTTCAGAACAAGGTAACCAGAGGTCCCTAATGGCAAGATACTGGACTAGCTTGCTTGCATCCAGAGAAGCCCCATGATGAAATTACCATTGTCATCCTCATTTTTCCTAAGAAGCATGGAGAGGAACTTTAGCTTGCCCATAGTCATCCAGGGGAGTGGGTGGCAGACTGAAGAATAATCTGGAGCCTCCATGCTTAGTCACCAAAGTCAGTAGCCACCCAAGTCGCAGATTTGCCCCCTTCACTTCCTGATAGTTTCTACTCACTCAGTACTGCCAGGACTTCCAGAACTCCATCCAAACACTTTCTGTAAATAAGTATTGATTTCACTAAGCCTTGCAGGATATAGGTAATTCCTGCTTCTTTTGTCTTCTTCTGTGTGTGTATTAAATGCTGCACCCAAGAGGTTTAAGTTTTGCTTATTTTTTAGTTAATAAAAGGGAAAGAAGAAACACTGAACTTTATCCTTGTAGTCTCGCCTTTCTAACTTTCCAACTATCTCATGGAAGAAGTATTTGTATTGCTCAAAGTACACCAAGAAACTCAGTATAACATCATATTCCATAGAGATTTTAGCACCTTTCATGGGAGGAAGGTGGAGGTAGAATGAGAAGAGTAGTTACTAAATCAGTGGGGGTTGTTCTTTACAGGGAATTCCCGTCACTCTTCCCAAAGACTGACAGGCACAGCATCACAGCATGTGAGCAGTGTGGTAGGCCAGCCTGAGATAAAAAAGCAAAGACCTCATTCACTAGCATCCCCAGGTCAGAGTTTTCCTTCTTCAAGCAAGATATGTCTGGCCAAGATCATATGAGACTTAAGAGCCGAGCTTGTGGACATACATTTTGAGAGAATAATACTGTGCTTTTTGTTGAGATAGTTTTCTGTTACTCCCGCCTCTAGGAATGATTTTCGTGCTCATTTCTTGTTACAAGGCTCAGAGTAAATTCTCATTGTTATTTGAAAAAAATTTTTAAAAGGTTTCCCATTCTTCCAGTACCCTGAGAAAAGCTGCAAATATGAGATATTAGCATTATCTCTGGCTGGAGAAAAACATGCAAATATCAGAACTGTGCTATTGTGAGACGGGTCTGGGACTCCCAGCACAACTCCTTCTGCAGCCTCAGCCCCTCCATGCAAGCATTTTGGGAAGTCCCAAGGCAGATGAACCCAGAGCCCCACACAATCAAATAGGACAGGGGTGCTGTATGGATTCTGCCTGGAAGTCTCCCACTCATTCCCAGCCAAGCTATTAACCACCAGCACGCAGCATGGCTGGGGTCAGACCTGGTCAGACCTGGTAGACTGTGTATGTATGCAAGGCTCCACGTTGGGGGTGGATGCAGCTGCAGGATTCACCTCCAAAATCCAGTGAGAGTGGCTTTCTTTCTGAAAACAAAAGGCCAGTGTTTAATCTCTGCAGAAACAAAGGTGACCCAATGTATCTCCCTGAAGGTAAAAACACGGGGACAGGGAAAAACTTTAATATTTTTAATTATCAACAGAGCAACCAAAAATAATAGAGATGGCTCTGAGAAGGCAAGGGAAGGAAGGGCAGAAACACCTAATCTAACACAGCTTCCTCCACATCCCTTTCTATCCACCTCAGCACCACTCTCCCACTTTGGACACTGCTGATTGTTTTCTCCCATTAACTTAACAGTTCTACAGCTTCCCCAGTTCTTCTCCAATTCCACAGCTTCCACTCTGCCAGTCACTGTGCACCCAACCAGAAGCCAAGGGCAATCTCCAACACTGAGATTGAGTCAAGTTTCAATTTTAGAATTGTTACACTCTTAGGATGTACCATATTTGAAAAGAAGACAGTAAGAAGTACTCCAAACAAAGATAGTTCTAAATTAACAAAGAATCTTATCTTTATTACAAGGCCCTAACAACTATAGCATTTAAAATCCTTCCCTCTGAGTTCCACTAGCAATGACACAAATGCTTCAGTAATTGTTCATACTTTATTGAATGCCTTTTAATCAGACATCTTATTTAATCCTCAAGCTTTGTACTGGATACTGTGCTGAGGAGACTCTATTATAACTGGGAAGACTAGAGAAGGAACCTATCCACAACCAGCCAGATAAAGAGTGGCAGCACTGAATTTGGACCCAGGACTGAAATTCCAAAGCCTGTTGTCATTACACAGTGTTGTCTCTCATCTGACTGGTAGTAGCCAGCCTTTCCTCATCTCTGGGTTGCCCACAGCTAGCTTTCTTAATGTCCCATGTGTGTCCCACAAAAAACCCTAGCATGCCTTCCCCAGAACAGTTGATATGGGGAAGCTGGTTTAGGGAAGGCAGCTATTGGCTCTGATGAGTCATAAGTAGGACTGCAACTAGCCTTTGTTAGTCCAGACTCATCTTAGACCAGGAGTGGCCCTCCTAGTTGGTTCCTTTGTATTTTTATGAAGAACAAGCCAAGGACCGCCCCCTACATTACCACGGAACATAGGTTATGTTTCTTGGTATTTCTAGGTCCTGGGAGGTAAGTGGCAGGGCCAATCAGCACCAACACACACACTGTCTCCCCATCCCCACCTCTCAGAGGTTTGTAAGTCTCTATTTCCCAGACTAAATAATATGTACGAACCGTCATCCTAGGAGAGGTATTTGCAAATACCACACTAAAACAAGAAAGTAAAATACAGCAAACCAACAGCTTGGATACCACTTTCAAACATCAGAGCAGCCCCTGTGAGCCTTAGGAACATGTGGGAGGAGCAGAGAAAGCTCCCTATGATTCATGAATCACTCCTAATGGCCTATGGGCAGCAGGGGAAGGGGGCTCCTCTGACAGCCCACATCAGGAACATAATTTTTTATTCATGAAAATATTTTAGGATTCTTAAAAGAAAAGTTGTAAATGTTATGTAATAAATTATATTTCTGGAAGAAGCAAAAATAAACCTTAGTTTTATCCATCTGGAAGTTGGCAAAATGAATACAGGAACACCCAGGAAAAGTTTTGTCTGTGTGCTGAAGATTTTAATAGGTGTTAATATTTCCCTCCAGAAAACAGATTATATTATGGTTTATATGAGTCTGGTGATTGCAGGAAATGTAAGTCCATGGGGTAGTTTATATTTTGACGTAATGTTTAATAAGTAATAAAATGTGACTATTCAAACTTTCTGTTCTTGGGATGTTCTGTGGGAGAGGGAAACAACTGCTGTGCACATTACATCTTGACCTTAAGACTGATTGCTTAATGAACTAACACACTGGGGATCTTTAATTTTCTAGGGTACTGCCCTTCTCCCCTCCCCTCCCCAACAAGCTTTGCTTCAGCTATTCTAAGTAGAAATCAAATTTTGTAAATTAAGTTAGACATCACTGATTGTATTAATCGAGGTAACTGTTAACTATAAAAATAGATAAACCCCAGAATTTCAATGGCTTAACACGACTAAAGTTTATTCTTGCCTGTAACTCTTGTAAAGTTTGGTGAATGGTAATGGGAGAAGGGGTGGTGGCTCTGTTCCATGTCATCACTTAGGGATCTGGACTGATGTAGACCCTCTGCCATCTTTGCAGTTCTCCCCAAGGCTGCTACAAGCATCAACATGCAGTTGGCCAGCAAGGAGAGAGAACATGCAGGAGTAGTTAAGGGACTAAACCTGGAACTAAAAGAAATCCCTTTCACTCTATTTCTTTGGCCAAAAATCAGTCATGTAGGCCCACCTAGATACTAAGGGCCTGGGAAATGAAGTCCTTAGCCTGGCATCTACTTTCCAACAATCACTGTATTTCATGTAAAAGGAGCCCAAAATGTTGATGGATTCTGGAAGGCTGGAGAATAAGTCAGTATTGTTAGGTCTTTCCTATGATTTGCTATCAAGTGACTGACAGAGTTTGTGTGTGGAGACATCTAAATCCACAGGATTTTTTTGCCCACTCCATAGTGACCTAAAGGAGATTTCTTTTTCATCTCTCCAACTCCTTAAATCTTGCCTCTCCTCCTACTTGGCTGACATAACAGAAAACAATATGCTGTTCTACTGCAATCCTGTTAGGACACACACAGCACTAGATGCTGCGCCCTCTAATGGACACCTCAAAAATATAATTTGAAACCTCAAATAGCAAAGTGGGTTAAAGGCTCACTGGAGAATCAGAGACCACAAATCCAGAGCAAACACTCACACCCAGAGAGAAGAATAGCATTACTCACTGATTCTGTCCACCTCAGAAGAGAAGTCCCTCAGCTTTTCTGGATCTCAGTGTCATCATCTGTAAAATGTGGACTTTGAATTCAGTGAATCCCTAGGTCATCTGAATTTCCCTGCTGTCTAATTCTATGTCAGGTGGTCCCCATTCAAGCTGCTGCTATTTTTCTATTCCCTTCTTGTGTATACTTAGATGAAAAAGTTAAATCACAGACTGGAAAAGAAACAAAAGAAGAAGAACACATATCTGATTAAGGAACTTGTTTCTAAATATATAAAGAAGCCAAATAAATAAGAAAAACAATATAATTTTTAAGTGGTCAAAAGATATGAACCCTCTGAAGAGGAGCAATAAAGACAGCATATAAGCACATGGAAAGAAATCCAACATCGTTAGTCATGAGGATGGCTAATTAAAACTATATGAGATATTCACATATCTAGAATGGCTAAAGTTTAAAAAGGACAATATCTAATGTTAACAAGTCTACAGAGGAACTAAAACTCTCGATATTGTTGAGGGATACAAAATGGTAAATCCACTTTGGAAAATGCTTCACCAGTTCAATATAAATTTAAACACAGCCTTACCATACAGCCCAACAATCTCACTCCTGGGTATTTATCCAAGTGAAACAAAAACTTATGTTGAGCTACATCATACATACATGTGGGAAAGAGTATAGTGATTCCACAAAAATAAATAAATAAAACATAGAGCTACTGTATGATCTAGCAAATTCTGGGCACATACCCAAAAGAATTGAGGGCAAGGTCTCGAAGTGATATCAGTATACCCATATTCATAACAGTATGACTCATCATAGCTAAAATGTGGAAACAATTAAAGTGTCCAGTTATGGAAGACAAGATAAACAAGATGTGTGTGTGTGTGTGTGTGTGTGTACATGTGTGTGTGTTTGAATAGACTATTATTCAGGCCTTAAAAGGAAATAAATTCTGACGTGCTACAACATGAATGAAACTTGAAAATATCGTGGTTAGTGAAATAAGCTAGTCACACAAAAATACTATATGAGTCCACTTATAGGAGGTATTTAGTCAAAATTATAGAGACAGTAGCATGATGGTTACCAGGGACTAGAAGAAGATGAAAATAAGGAAGTATTGTTTAATGGGTACAGAGTTTCAATTTTACAAGAGAAAAAGTGTGTTATGGATCTAGATGACAATAGTGATTACACATTATGAATTTATTTAATATCACTGAACTGTACATTTAAAGATTAAGGTGGAAACTTTTGCTATGTGTATCTTACCACAATAAAAAATAGGAAAAAAACAACTTATGTTGATGCAAAAATCTGTAAATATAAATAGAATGAATTAGATTACATCAAAATTAAAAACTTTGGTTCTGAAAATGACATTGTTAAGAAAGTGAAAAAACACCTGCATAATGGGAAAAACATTTTCAAACTCATATATCTAATAAGGGACTTATATCTAGAGCATAAAGAATTCTTACAACCCAATAATTAAAAGATAATTAAAATGGGTAAAGAATTTAAATAGGACTTGAAATTATACTACACTAGAAAAAAGATAGCCTCTTTAATAAGTGGTGCTGAAAAAACTTGCTTTCTACATGCCAAAGATTGAAACTAGACCTATATCTTTCACCATGCACTAAACTAAAATCAAAATGAATCGAAGATCTAAATATTACAATAGAAATACTAAATAAGATAAAATAAGTATAATTCTCAAAGACATTGGTGTAAGCAAAGACTTCATGAACAAAACCCCAATTGCACAGGAACTATCATAAAGAATCAACAACTGGGACGTAATCTTATTAAAAAGTTTTACACCAGGGCCAGGGATTTAGCTCAGTGGTTTTGCCGCCTACTGCGCAAGCGCAAGGACCCAAGTTCAATCCCCAGTAAAAAAAAAAAAAAGGTTTGCACCACAAGAGAAGCCACCAAGTGAAAAGACAACCCACAGTGTGGGAAAAAAATTTGCCAGCTGTTCCTCAGAAAACAGACTAATATCAAGAATATATAAAGAACTCAAATATTCAGCACCCCCCCCCCAAATTTAAAGACCCAATCCAAAAATGGGCATCTGAAATGAATAGATATTTCTCAGATGAAGAAGTAGAAACAACAAATAGATATGTGAAAAAAATATTGACCATCACTGGTCATTCATGAAATGCAAATTAAAACAACACTAAGATTCCATCTCACTACAGAAAGAAAGGCTGTTATCAAGAAATCAACCAATAAAAAATGCGGAGGGGCTGTGGACAAAAAGGAACCCTCCACTCCTGGTGGGAGTGTAGACTGGTGCAACCGCTGTGGAAATCAGTGTGCAGATTCCTCAAAGAACTAAAATTGGAGGTTCCATTTGACCCAGCTATTTCTCTTCTTGGTATCTTCCTGAAAGAATTAAAAGCATCATACCTCAGGAATACATGCACACTCATGTTCATAGCAGGACAACTTATAATAGCTAAATAATGGAAACACCCCAAATGTCCATCAATGAATGAGTGGATAAAGAAGATGTGGTATTTTTATACAATGGAGTACTATCTGCCATAAAGTAAGCTAAAGCTTAAAGAGACATGTATAACTAAATGGATGGACATTGAGACCATACTCTTAAGGGAAATAAATTGAACACATATGTTTAAGTACCACATTGTTTCTTTGGTGTGAGAAACCAAAAGTGGAAATAAGGATTAAAATTTACAATAGACATTGGGAAATGGGAAGAAAATGTTCAAATGAGAAGGGAAACAAGGGAGAGGGGAGGGGGAAAGGAAAGAAGGGACAAGAAAAAAAAAAGAGAAAATCAAAGGGAAAAAATGGAAACAAAGCTTTTGTACATAAGGGGGAGATGGGGAACAAAGAAGCAAGATACATCATGTACTGATACAAATTCCCTATAATGAATGTTATCATTCTGTATATCTAAAATATACCAGTAAGTGTTTTGCAGGGGAAAAAAAGAATTTAAATAAGTATTTCTCCAAAAACAGACGTACAAGAGCACACAGAGATGCTGAACATCATTAATCACTAGAGAAACGCAAATCAGAATCACAAAATATTACTCCACACTCACTAGGAGAGCTATTTTTTAAATGGACAATAATAAGGATTAGAGCTTATAAGAATTTGACACAAGACAGACATGGTGAGTGAGCATAGCAGGACAGAGTGCACAGACTCATCTCAAAAATTGGCTACAGAGGGATCAAGGTGACAGAGTAGAGACCGACAGTGGAGTATAGCTCCTCCAGGACCTCAATTTGAGACATCTGGATGACAATAACTTGGTGTGGTGAAGAGGAGGAAAGAGGTAGATCTCCAGGAATTGGGAGGGAGCTGACAAGAAGACTGGAAACTGTGGAGAAGCTAGAGACAAAGCACAGTGCAGAGAAAGGAATGCTCACCTCAACTTCTGGGAGGGGGACCTATCTCTGCTGATGCAAGATAACCCCGAAGAGAGACACCAGCTCCAGGAAGAGAGAGTAGAGTGGGCCAGCAGTACTGGCCCCAAGAGAAGCCCGTGGGTATAATATACTGCAAAAACAGTGTGGCATCTTACTCTGAAAGTGTCCATTTACACAAGGCAAGCTGGAGTTGGGGAGGAGGTCCATATTAGCACTGGCCATATTGGAGAGGGTATAATCAGGAGCCAAAAACACAAGTAGTTAGATCTTGGGACAAAGGCAAAGGCTTATAGCTGGCCATTCCCAGAGTACATCACTGAAAAGCAGACACTAACTAAAGAGACTAGAAACAAAGCCTTTCCAATATAATCAGCCCACAAATCTCAGCACACAAAAAAACCAAAAAAACAAAACAAAAAACAATAGAAACATGAGAAGACAAAGCAACAAAATGCCTCCAAAATCTCCCAACTCCCCCATGCCTGATCCATGGGGCATCAATGGGGAGAAAATCAAAAGTCACACAACTGAATTATTCAAAATGCTAAAAGAGGAGATAAGAAAACAGATCAATAAGGTACCTTGCAAGCTCACAGAAGATAAAACTAAAGATAATAGATTTAATAAAGAAAATGATCAAAAAATTTAGAGAAGATAATAATAAAGCTAGCTGAGCTAAACAAAATGATTCAAAACATGAATGTCCAGTTTAGCAAAGAATTGGAGTCCATGAAAAGATACCAAACAGAAATCTAGGAGATTAAAAACTCTATTGAAAGTATGGACAACAAAAGTGACCAAATGAGGACAGAGTGTCAGAAATGAAAGACAAAGTTGATGCTGGTGAACATATACTCAGAGATACTTTAAAAACAAGAGAACTGGAAATGGATTCAACAGAAGCTAGATGACACAAAGAAGAATCTAAGATTAATTGGAATTAGTGAAAAATCAGAAGACAGCATAAATGACAAAAAACCCTGTTTGCAGAAATAATAGCAGAAAACTTCCCAAATATGGAGCAAGAATTTAACATACAGATGAGTGAGGCAAACAGGACCCCAGATAGCCATGATCAGAAAAGAGCCTCTCCATGACACATTATAGTGAAAAACCCATTAGTCCAACACAAAGACTAAATTTTAAAAGCTGTTAGAGAGAATCACTGACTCAGTTATAAAGGTAAATGCATTAAAATTACAAGAGATTTCTCAACACAAACCTTAAAGTCCAGGAGATCTTAGAGTAAAGCATATCAAGACCTAAAAGAAAACAAAAAACTTTCAAGCTATACTCTTAGGCACTTTCTCATTGCTGGCACAAAATGCCAGACACCCACAAGTTAAAAGAGGAAAAGTTTATTTTGGCTCACAGTTTGTAGATGTTTCACTCCATAATTGGCTGGCACCAAAGCAGGGCAGCATGGCAGAAGTGCAGGGCAAAAGAGGCTTGCCTATGGCGTGGCAAGCAGGAAGGAAGGATACATGAATCAAAAGAGAAGGAAAGGAGACAGTCCCAGGCCATGCCCCCCAGCGACCCATCCCCAACCAGGCTTTACTCCTCAAACCACATTTAGCTGTAAACTCATCATTGGGCTAATCCATTGATGAGTATCACATACCCATGATCTAATCACTTCCAAAAAGCCCCACCTATGAGCACATGAGGCTTTGGGGGAAAATCATAACACAGACTGATACATTCTGAAAAATATCTTTGAACATTGATGGAGAAATGAGGTCCTTCTACGACAAAAAGTACCTTAAATTCA